CTACTACTACTACTATATATATTACTACTATACTATTAAGTAGTAATATATATGATAATTATACTACTCCCACTTCTACTGTATTACAACTACCGGGCCCACAACTGCATTAAATCAGTACTTCTCAGGTGCTCAGTGTCCTCCGGCAGTCCTTGCTGAGTGGAAGAAAGCCCACGATGGCAAAAGGAGTAGCTTGCCAACACAAGAAATCTAGCGGTCCTAGCGTTCATGTAACATTTGAATGGTCTTTTCTGCCAGTATCTACACATCCAAGATTCGAAGAAGATTGCCCAGCTCTTCCAAGAGTTTGTGCTGTCCGGAGAAAATTGGGGTATGTCCAGGATTACTGCCCTTTCTCGGCTCTCAAAGTCGATTATGAAGGAGGGAGTCTGGCGCTGGCGCACCAGGGAGGCCCATTATGCTCAAATGTGCACCCAACAATTACCGAAAACCTTCTCTATGGCCCTGAAGCGAAATTCTAAATTAACCTTGAACCCCAAACCCCTAAACCTCAAACCCAATAATCTCAAGCTTCCCTACAGTTTCTCGTGGAGAAGTATGGGGAGACTCGCGTCAAAGGGCTGGTTGAGGAGAAGGACTTGGCTTCATGAAGGCTTTTAAGGTAGGATCTATAACGTGGCCTGGTAGATCCTGCAAGCTGTGTATTAAAAGCGAGCACTTCTGAAGTTCTGGAGGAGAAAGATGCTGCTCTTCACAAAGACCATCCGGAGTTCCCGCAGGACAAGGCAGGCATCGAGGGCTACAATAATGCATGCCTAGAGGGTTAAGGGCTGGCCTTAACATATGAAATCCCCTTAATATATTCCTACCTAACCCTAAGCTATAATATAATGAATCCCTGTAGGATCTGCACCTTTACAGGGTCTGGGAAGAAGGGACTGAGCGTGAGCTCCAGATTGAGGAGGTCAGCTGGACCTTTACCCGTGAAGGCGATTGCCCGGCCTTCGACCCAGCACAGGGCGAGAGCGCGGATGGTGAAGAGGACCTGAAGAAGAAGTTCAAAAAGGAGAGCAATGTGGTCAAGCAGAAGACAACCGACCAATTGGCCAAACAGGCCAGCTAGCGCATATATAGATGATATAATTGTAGAGTTCGAGGACCCCTTAAACTCTAATTAGGGTTAAGGGTTTAGGGTGCAGGGGTTTTAGATTCATGGTAAATGTTCTACACAATTAATAAAATGCAACTGCTTCGCACTGCCCCCACCAGACAATTTCCCCTCGCTTCAGGCTATCTCGAAGGCCAATGCCAATATCTTGGAGATTCGTGGCTACAAAACGAAATTGCTGGCCAACAACGTGTTACTGGGTTGAAATCCTGTACGATGTTGAACTGAGATTTGGAGCTAGCCATACCCCAAGATTCCGTAGCCAGGGTTATAGGATTATTTGATTTAGTGGGATTATCCAGGGCTTGGGCATCAGGGTTTAGCTAGCGCTTAGGATATTATAGGGGAGGGCCTGATTTCAGTTTTGAAGCTCTGAGCTAATTGGGCTTTCGTTGTAATTTCGTTTAGTTCGGTGATTCTGAGGGAGACGGCGTTGCTGGATGCGTTGGTCAGCACTATGCAGCAGCATTTCACCTTCATCAGCCA